AGGAAATATTTTAAAAATCCTCAATCTTTCCTAGTATGAGATTTGTAACATTTGCTCTCTAGGTCTTGCCTTTTCTCTAATTTATATACCACGTCTAAAATGTACAAAATTTAATGTGAGTTACTCATTATAATATAGATATTACTCAAGCAAAGCATAATTATTATAGCCTTCAATCTTATTTATTTATGGAGCCATAAACTAGAAAATCAGACCCACTGGACATGCCCACCTGTCCCATCCTCTCTTTCACAAATTACAATAGTTGTCTCTGATGGTTTGTACTATTATTTATAAGCAATAGAAAAATAAAGGTTTCTTTCAAAAAGCAAATGTTATTACATTGTCTTTAAAGATAATGTTGTATTTCACCTTCAGTTCAAAACTATATCTCATGGTTTATAAGCTTAGCTGAATTTTTAAAGGCCCTTATTGCATAATTAGAAAGCTAGAAAAATAATGATAGCTATAGGGACATTGTTTGCTTTGTGCATTTTATTATTCTGTGCATTATTTAATTAAATAAAAATGATTTATTCTAGTAGTACCATTGGTATAAAAAAGTAGGCTTAAGTTTCATCAACAGTTGACAGCAATAAACATGAGGACCCATGTAAGTACTATATTTTTCTATTTTTTTCATGTATATTCTTTATTTATTATTATAAAACTAACTAATATGTAAAAATTAGAAACTTACTAGGTAAGATAATGAAATATAGTAATAATAAAAATTATTCACGAGTTATGCTCTTGAGCACCTTGTGCATTATGTAACATGAGTTGCACAATGTTTGTGGTGGGATTATTAACTACACACTGTTTACAGAGCAATAAAACAATAAAAGTAAGTATAAACAGACTTATACTGTCACAAGCTTTAAGCTAGTAGGATAAACAATTACAATTTCATGTTACAATTTGCAGTCATTCTAGCAAGAAAAAGGTTAATTTTATTGTATTTATATTTTTTATAGTGGTTATGAGGTCAGTCAAATTGACCAAATGAGTATAAAATAAGAATAGAGAAAATAACAGATAAAATATAAAGTTTTATTGAAAAAAAACGTTTGATATTTATCTAAGAGGTTTTAAAGATTATGCAAGAAAAATTTGACAACTTTTAGAAGAAGAAAAGTATTTTTAATCTTAGCATGTACATCACTTTGAATCAACAGAAACTAAGTAAAATTAACTAAAGTGGGTCTAGTTTAAATAAAATACACTTGTCACACATAAATCAGCTTTTTACTCTTCATACCTAAAAAGTGCCAAAAATCTCAACAGCATACCATCGTACCAATATTATCAAAAGTACCACCTATGGTGCTAGTGTTACTAACAATCAGTCTTAATGTTAATTATACTTACAGTAACAGTTTATACTCATAAATTCAAAGTCAGATAGATTAAGTATCATAATTACTAACTTATAACTGTTTAGTAATTATGATTTTATTAGTGTTGCATACCTGTAGAGTTCTATATACCCTTTCAAATAACTATCCAAACGTAATCCAGAGATGTCTTCCATACATTTTTCAAATGATTCACAGACAAATATTCACAAACAAGTATTTAGTAGAAATACTTATTTAAAAATCTGTTGTTATTTTTTTTTGTACAAAAGACTTTTAATGTTTACTGAAACTTGCTAAATTTTGTGAAGATACACAATACATATTAAAAGTTATAATATGGAAAACCTGATGGTTACTTTGGGGGGTCGTGAACTTGGTTAAATTGACAAAGCTTGTAGCAAGAGAGTTAAATGTCTGATAGGTTTCAAACAAAGGAGTCCTTCTTTGAAAGGTTCATACCGGACAAAGCAAATTATAGTTTACTACTGAATTTCAAAAAAAAGATTAAAGTATACTATACCAGAATCCAAAGCTATGCACTTCACCAGCAATTCCAAGCAACTATTATAGGGATGAAAACCACTAATTGATATAAATTTATACAAATATCTGAAACATCCTAGGGGTCTCAGACACAGGACCAAAGTGATATGAATTTCTATCTGTTGGTATATGCATCTTTTCTTGAGTAAAAGGATCGATATCTGTTTATGATCTTTTGACATCCATTTAATAAGAAATGCTGAAAGTGCATGTAAAATATAAAAGTTACAGGAATATATCTGATTAAACTGTATTCTAAACTATATATGGGAGTGAAATTCTTGACTATTTCATACATCACATATTCATCAGTTTTCATTTATGAAGAGCAACCTGTATGTGCCCTGTGCTGGTCAGAATCAGATTTGTTTAATTTCTCTTCCCTTTGATCAAATATGTATTTATGTATAGCAGTGTTTTTTTCCCAATTGTTGTTTGTATGTGTATGCTGCAGAGGAAAAAGTTCTTCATTTCACTTCAGAGTGCTTTAAATAGTTTTGTACAGTTGTTGAACTAGAAACATTCAAGTTACATTTTTAAAATTAAGTTTGTAACTACTACACATTGGTATAATTATTTATCTAATCTCAAGTTATAAAAACTAGTGCCATATGGAACAACATATTGAGAAGTACACCTTTTGTTACCATGTTACATCACATAATGGGTAACCTTTTGTTTTCTAGCATACTGTTAGCTGAACATCTGAGACATACTGAGCTGAACAAATATCACAAGTTTTAATCGCATGTGTAGGATAAACCCTTCAAAATGATCAATCCAGAAAACATTATTCCTGTTTTTTGTACTTAGTTTTTTTTCTGTTATTGAAAAATTTTTACCATCAAGTCTTTTGTAAAGACATTTGGTGGAAATTTTGTGAAGTTTTCACTTATATCAATATCCTATTTGTAGTATCAAATAAAGAATTTTGCCAATGTGTAGTACTTGCAAACTTATCTTTAAAACACATAACTTAAGCACTTCTAGTTAAGCAATTGCACAAGACTACTGTTGTTATTAAGTAATTTAAATAATAAAAAATCCTTTAAAAAGTATGCTTTTTATAACTGAAAATATACAGATATTTGTTCATTTTATTTTCAGCCATATCATAGAGCTACGAAACCACGATTTTAGACAAAGATGATCTTCTTCATTTAACTTTGAGTGTTTTAAATAAAAATTTTACAGGTCACTGTTGTATAAATATTCTCTAATTAATGTAGAATTGTTTTTTAAGTTGTGGTCAAAATTAATTTTTCATTTGTTTTTTTTTTTCTTTTTTGAAGGGGAGACAACTTGAATCATAATGATATTTCTTGTTTTTTATGTTAAAGTAGAACTAATACAAAATAAAATTTGTCAAACTAAGATGATGACAAAGCAAATCAAGTTTGAAATATAATGTGAGAAATTTATATTAGATAGAAAATAATATTTGATAAGAAGTTGAATTATTTCACATGTCAACCTCTATTTCCTTACCAGATTTTAAATGAGTAAAATAGTAATATGTATCTCATTTTATCCTGTTTTCTGAAAATACATCATGAACATGTGAAAGACAAAAATACTAGAAATAATCTTTTCATGACTACGGTTAGATTAATATGATATTATAGTCAATATGAACCATAAGATAATTTTTTACAATTTGTAAATATGATGAGAAAAGTGGCATTATAACTTTTGTTGAGCTGCTTTTAGTGATAAATATAGTGAAAACTAATTTTTTTTGTGGTTGAAGAAATTTTGTTACTGGATTGAGGATAGAATTTGATCCATATTTCTTATATTATCTTAATTAAGGTTAAAGCCTTTTAATATGATATAGTTTTATCTGTTTTATTATATAATATGTTACTTATTGGTTTAGAGAAGAAATACGTTTATTAAACAGAAAGATCCAAATGTTAATTAAGTGTAAAAGTGTTTGCTTTTCAACCACATGAAATGATATTTTTACATGAATAGACATGAATTTTTGTTGAATGGATGGCAACTGCCTGTTGAAGAAACTCAGGTGTAGAGGACCACATTTCAAAAGTCTTTCTTCTGCCTTTCGTCTTCAGGTCAGTGTGATATGGTGTAATCGATCTTTATAGTTCCTTCCCTACCTGCAAAATTTCTATGAAAACTCAAATTCCTAGCCAAGAAATTCAACATAAAACTTCGGTGAAAATCCTTCAAGACATTAAGGTCCATTCTGGTAAAAAAACAAACAGCAAAATCCAGTGAGAAGCACAAAAACGTCATTTATGAAATTCTGTGTTCCTGCAATGAAATATACATTGGAAAAATGGGAAGAAGACTCGCAACAAGAATAAAAGAACATAAATACAGTAAACCCAAAATTCAGCCATTGCAGAACATGCCATGTCAACTGAACACAAAATAAACTGGAAAAAACCAGAATCATTGACACAGACAAATTTTGGAAGACAAGAAAAATTAAAGAATCATTTTATATTAACACAATTAAACCTTCACTAAACAGAGATTTCGGATTAGAGGTGAGTAACCTGTAGCTACCATTGGCTGAGTCTACAGGAAATCTCTACTCCAATCAGAAACAGGGATAAACCAACCAATCATAACATGCTCTTCACAATCCACCAGAATACTATAAAGACCAAGTACACTTTACCCACACTGACCTGAAAACGAAAGGTGGAAGACTTTCGAAACGTCGTCCTCTACACTTGTGTTTCTACAACAGACAGTTGCCGTCCATTCAACAAAGTTTCATCATGAATACTTTGCCTAAATAATCTGTCAAGGGACATTTTTACAATATTAATATTTAATGTTGGAATTTTTCCTGTAACCTGAAAATATTGAGTGTTTGTTTATCTGCTTTCAGATACTTTGTATAAACTGTATCTGTAGAAACATAGCATTTTAAGGTTATTTAATTTCTTGGATCTGAAGCTACATGAAATAATAACAGCATTATTTACATGTATCATTATATGAGTTCTGATTGTAAAAATATGCTTTTGAGGAACAAAAAAAATTTGAAGAATGGTAAATGTAGTTGGAGCTACAGATGTGTCATTTATCCATTAAACATTGAAATATTTTATTATATAGGTAATTTATCCAAGCTTAGATGATATCCAGCAGGCTATCAATAAAAGTGTTCAACTGATTATGAACGTCAGTCAAAATGTTATCAATTGGGAAAAACCTCTTGTTGGAATCAAAACATCTGGTAGAGGTGATTACATCGTTAACAGCATCTCTATTTACTTTCTTAACAAATTAGTTTTCACATTACTAATCTTTCTTTTATGCTTATCTGCTGTTAAATTTATAAGCTTATAGCATTTTTCATATTATAGCTAGTCCAACTCGTTAGTTTCTGATCTTTTTCCATCCCTACATCCCAATAATTTTAGAATAAAGTTTTTTGTTACTAGTTTATGTATATGGGGTATTTCATTGAATATTTTTTGTGTATTTCTGTTTATTATTATTATCATTTAGCTGGTTTTATTTTTATATGTTTAAGTGTAAGTATGCTTCATGTTTTAGATATTATTACAGATGTGTATGTAATATTTTCGGAGTACTTCTTTCAGTGTATGTAATTTTAGACTATTATCATTATGATTTGTATGTAAGATCAATTTTAAGAGAATAACTTTGTTCTTTTGTAATTATGACTTGATTATTATTATGTTGATGAGACTTGGTTTATATTATGTTTGCTTTCTTTATGTGTTGTTGTAACATATTCTGTTGTAGGGTGGCCCCATTTGGATTATCTACCAAAAATTTTGACAAATTCTGTCTACATAATGGTAACAAATTAATATATTTCTTCACTATCATTTGTTACAACTATGTTCCCTTATATTCCTTATTTCATAAATAACTTTTCAAAATAAAACTCTGCAACTAAATGTAGGCTTAACTTCAAATACAATATTTCAGTATAACCTATGAGGTGTATGCCTGACTTGATTAGCTTTGGCAGGTAAACATGAAACTCACCAATTATCTAAACAACAGAATAGACATGATAGCTGTCACTGAATAATTCCTTCTTACTTATATTGTAACCTTCATACTTGCACATACCACTAAAACCTTCTTGATTATTACATCATTTTCATGATTAGGCAGATTCCTATATCAAATATCTAATTTACATTGAAATTATAGTTTATAACACTACCCCCTTCCTGGAATGTGAAGTCCCTTGAACAGTTCTAATACAAAAATAAAACACTCAGCTGTTCATTCACCAAGTTTTTTTGAGTAGTTTTTCTTTTCCAAGGGTTATTGTATACAAATAGGATGACCTTTTGTCTTGTTGTCACTTGCTGTCCTGCCTCTTGTAGAGTACTCCTTTAGCAGGTGGTTGAGGGAATCTAGTGACAGCTCAATCTTTGGTGATCCTCTGGAAGTGGTTTCTTACCCTGAACTTCACAGTTGGTTGACTTTCTGCTGATAATTTCTCTAAAGTTACCCAATTAGCCTTTCTGTCAACAAACGACAAACTTCCAAAGATGATAATGGTGGACGATCTTTGGCTTGGATCACCTCTCCCCTGGATTCTATAAACCACATCATTCATTCTTTTTAATACAACATATGACCCTTCACAGCATCTCCTTAACATTGGAGTTTGTCCTTTCTTGTGGCAGTGATTGTACAGCCATATTATATCATAAGGAAGGTCATAATTTTGAGATGTCACCTGACATACCATTGGAGGATACGTCTGTCTACATTCATGCACAATGTGTAGCATTACAGAGATACTTTTTATGGGCAGAACATTTGTTATCTCCAGAGAATGACACAGAAAAAAATGCTAAGAGAAAACTAACTTAATAGTTTTCTTGACCATATGTTATATGAAAACTGCACACACACACACAGAATAAATGATAAATTTTGAATATTACACTATTAAATTAAAGAGGTAGAAAATTCATGTTATGCTTTTATAGCACATAACTTTGCATTATCACTGGTGAAATTTCTATGGTTTATTTTTATGAAATTTGTTCTTGTGTGAATAATATTTCAGTCTATCATGTCGGAGGTACTTGTCAGAGTTATGAGTCTTTATGACTTGCACCTGAACTGTGTATGGTTCACATTTTATTTGTACTTGATTATTTTTGAGTTCATTACTATGATCTGTCATATGTCAGTATATTGATTGTAATGTATTGTTGGCTGTGAGATGAATTATAGATTAATCTAATTATTTATTATAGGACAATATATTTCTATGTGTATCTAAGTAAAAATGTTCTTTAATATTTGACATAAAACTAATTTCATAGTTTTTGTATAAATAAAATATTTGTAAGTTATATAAATATAATTAAAAAAATAATTGATTATTTGTTTATCAATGATTAGCCATGATATAATCATCATTATTTGAAGTACCACAATATGATGCCACTAGGAAGAGTTAGATATTAATCTATTATAACAATAATTCATTGGCCACAATTTACATTCATCCAGCATATGCCTGTTATATATTTTTGTGTATCTAGTAATTTTGCTTTGTTGTTTTCAGATTAAGCATTTTATCATGTTTGAAATAGACAACTGCTAAAATTCTTTCTTGAACTTTAAGTTATACTGATTGTACTTTTCTTAAAATATTCTCATGATATTCTCTCTGGCCATAATGAGGTGGGTAATACAGAAAAAAAACAAAACATTTTAAACATTTTACTACCTTATTTCTGATATTAAATATAGAAATGTATAACTACAATATTCCATTTATGTTTTTACTTTGTAATAGAAAATGGATCCAAGAAAGTAGTTTCAACATCTCATGAAGAGACCAACTATTATAAAATTATCTCGGACAACAAGGATATTTCCAAAATTGTAATGATGCTAAATTCAGCAATTACTTCTATACGTAAAGAAGTTAAGGATATAATAACAACATATGACGAGTATGAAACTTTATGGAAGGGAAACAAAGAAGAAAAGATAAAGGTATGTAAGATACTAAAAAAAAGTATTAACACTGTAAATTTAAGAAGAGTGATGACAGCATTTTAAATAATACAATAACTTTTTGGGAAAAAAATTTCTAGCAGTGTTCATTAATTTGCTAATATTAACTGAATAAATTTAGGAAATGGTCATACTTATTAATATTCTTATTTTATGAGGACTTAAATACTAGCTTCCTGGAAAATCAATAGTTTTTATCAGGAGATCCTGGGAAAGACCTTGAAAGTCTAACCCGATCGCTACTTTTTACTGATGCTAAGCTGTACATAACCTGTAAACTAGTATATTGAGTGACATTTTGGACCCCTTTAGTAAATATTTTAGGGACACTCAGAGTAGTAAATATAGTATTGTGATGTATGTTAGTAATATTATTATTTGTTATTTGTGTTCTTATTAGTGTTTTCTTCCAGGTTTAAAATGAATAAAGTTCTTTAAGAAAAAACTAGTTCATTATTATACTTGTAATCATCATACCCTTAAACAACTGATACACATTACTGTGCCCTTCAGTAAGTAAGATTATTTATAACAGTTATGGTACAGAATATTTTGTACAGCTGTTACTGCATTCTTTAAAAAATATAATAAAACCTTAGTTATTTATTTTTATTAGAGTTCACCTTCTTTTGAAATCAGTTAATAGCTAGGTACAAATCTTGTAAATATCTGAAAAACTTGTTTATTGCTGATAAGCAGTGTATTTTTTCTATAGTTACAAAGTTTCACTAGGTTAACCTAGCATCATGAAATAGTTGATATACCTGATGTTGCCAGGGTAACTTGGTTAAATGGTGTAACCATACATATAATACTCTGTTTATCTGATAATGATATTGTTTTTCAGTTATAGTGACAGAGTATTTCTTTTAATCTTTTACTTCATTTAATTATTATTGTAACATATTCTATTATTTGACAGGTTCTTTAATTATTTGATAAAATAAAGCAAGATCCAGTTCATGTAACATTAACAAATGTTTATTTGTTCCTTAACGTTTCATACAGGCTACTTTCACTTGTACATAAGTTGAAGTTCTAAGTTCATAAATGTTTCAACAGAAACTCCAAAACTAAATGTAAACCTAACTTCAAATACAATGTTTGAATATAAACTGTGAAACAAAAAACCTAACTCAACTAGCTTTCTTAGATAAACTTTCCAAGTAACTTAATAGCATAACGGTTACAATGACTCTCACTGAGTAACTAACTCACTCAGTGAAATCTAAATAGCTTTTCATTAAATACTTCACTTTGACATTAACATTGACTCTCTACTTACTCATATTTATAACTACCAAACCCATGTTTAGATATGAGTTGAAATTTCCTAAAGTTAATGTTATGTGCACTCTAGCTAACATCTAAATTAAAACATTGAAAATATGGTTTACAACAATATCTATAAAATAATAATCAAATAAGGTGCACATGAAGTACCTTACTAAAACATGCTGCCAACTATTTTTGCATTGTAACATTAAATAGGAATAAATCTTTCAAAGCTAAAGGTAGTCGTTTCAGACAATGAAGAATAAAAATGCTGAGATTAACATAGACATATAATTAATAAGAAATATGCCCAATTAGTCTAAAAATAGGAGAAAAATCAAATTTACCATAGATTAAAAAAGCACCTCTAAATGTCCAGGATTAAACTATATTTTTCAGACCAACAGTGATAATATTTATATACTTCATAATTTTTTTACATATAGCCCAACATTAAGAAGTATATATATAATATACTGTAACACAATATTTTATCTGCAAATTTGTAGGCCAGGCATGGCATATTAGTTAGCACGTCTGTTTGTGAAACCATTATGGCAAAAAAAATAATATACCACACTATGAGGCTATGGCCGAGTTTTAAGATAGACAGTAAAATCCCACTATTTCAATAAAGTAGCCAAGGAGTTGATGATGGATGCTGCTTAATAGCTGCCTTCCATTTAGTCTATCAGTTCAAAAGTTATCATTAAGGCCCACATCTCCCTCTAGCTAACATTTAAATTACAACATTAAAAATATAGCTCACAATAGTATGCTCATGAGTGACGTGAAATGTTTTGTGAATATGTTTGTTTTAAAATGACAGCATAGCAGACTAACATAAAAAGTAAGAAATTAGTTTCTTACAATATTAAGTATGGTGTAGCCTGATGGTTAGGGCACTCCACTTGCTATCTGCAGATTTGGATCCCCATCGTTGAAGATGCTCACCCTTTCAGCTATATGGGCATTATAATGTGATGGTCATCCCTGCTATTCATTGGTAAAAGTGTAGCCAAAGAATTTGTGGTAGGTGGTGTTGACTAACTGCCTTCTTTCTGGTCTATCACTGCTAAATTAGAGATGGCTAGTGCAGGTAGTCCTCAAGTAGCTTTGTGAAAAATTAAAAATAACTCAAACCACAATATCAAAAAATATTGATCATAACATAAACATATTAGGAATTAATTAATAAAAACTGTGATGTAATATTTAATTAAATGGTTTAATGTACGAAGCAAGGTTGAGATTCTGAACAGAAATCAGGAGATTTACCTCTTATATCTATTCATGTAGATACCTGGTATATTGTGTGCAGGTTCATCACACAGAAAGTTTACAGATTATTAGAAAAATAAATTAAAGAGCAATTTTTAATGCAATATATTTATAATTGGAATATATATATATATATGCATGTATAAATAATTTCAAAAGTATTGTTTAATGAAATGTACTTTGGACCAACACATATTAATGAAGGAATTTTGAGTGTAATTGAGATTTATGATGTGGTAAGCTTTTAGTAAAATACACAAGTCTATTGTACAAAAAAAATCAGATGTGTTACAAAATTATGTGTATTCAAAATATGTCTGTGAATTGATCAGTTGGTATGCAATGTGATGTTAAAGTGAAGAATAAAAATACTTTTGTCCAGCACACAGTTTGTATGTTGTATTTGCATAACCTCCATAACCTCTGAACTATCACTAAATTAGCATTGTAAGGTAAAATGAATAGTTGATAACTCTAAAATCCAATACATAATACCATGTTGAATGTCACTCTGTAAAAGGTCATGACATGTGCACTTCGACCACCCACCTGTGCACATAGGATTGAAAATGTTAATCTAGCTATTCATTTTATAGGTTGAGAGACTCTGATAAAGACTTTATTTGGTTATCTATGGTTACATTGCTGTACTATTAGAATAGTAACACTTTACTGGATCATAGTTAACCTTTCAACCTAACAAGCATTTAAATAATATTTCATATTTTTATGAACTTTTTCAATGAAATTTTTCATACCACTTCTAATACTTGTATTTAGTTTTAATGTTTTACATCATTGTACGGACATTCAACTCATTAGTTGTACCTCATTGATTACTTTGTGTCATTCCTGATAAATTAGCCATAAATAATGTTTTCAGTATCATCCATTTTTAGGAATTCATGGCTCAAGATCCCCCTTTGGCAGAGATTAAAGTTCTTATGCTTTATTATGAGGACATAGAGATAACTATTTGTGACATACCTCCCTCAGTTTCAACTGGAGTGGTTGAAGTATTTACAGGTATTGTAAGACTTATATAGTACATTGATCTGTAATACTAAATGTTATTGTAAATAAATGCTCAGTTAAAATCACTCTATACAAATTAAAATCATGAATACATTTTAAATACAAAGTTTTTCTTTTCCCAAATCAGAGGACATTAAACTGTCACTGTCAGTTGAAGCTAGAGGATGGAAGATGCTTTTAGGAAAATACTTGAACATGACTTACCATCACAAGGTGATGGATATTGTAGAGTTCATTTCAGAAAGTTCAAAGAAATTGTCACGCCCAATAAATGACTTGGATGATGTGAGGAGTGCCATGGCATGTTTGGAAGAAATACGAGAAAGTGAGATAAAGATTGATATGATGTTGAACCCAATAGAGGTAGTCATGATAGTTGTTTATAATAATTAAGTAAACTTGGTATAATCATGCATTTAGCATATCGATATTGTTGTCATTACATACGGTCCTTTTATTACTACAGTACAAATTAGAAGTGAAGTCAGTTTTACCTAGTGTTATTAGTTTACTCTTATAAATACAACCCAAAGTTATAAACTATGCCAATTATGCAATGGATAAGTATTCTATACCATTCTCTGTAAGCTTAATTACAAAACAGTTTATTTATTATTTGTGCAAAACCATACTATTCTAACATATATTGAAAAATAAAAAGTTGGCAAAAATATAATTAAATATTACAAGTTAATATGTTGTTTGAAACTATTAATATTTTAAAGTATTCTTTATATACATTTATCCATATGCAGCTTTTATTCATTTGTTATTTTGATGAAAAATTAGGATAAATAGATATTTAGCTAATTATAAAGAAATGAAGTCCAAAAAACTAACAACTTCAATTACCATATTGTATATGTGTGTGTGACACTTATAAGTTCTGCTTAACCTTAGAATTAGTGATGCGGGTCCAAATTGTCCCTTTCTACATTTTGAAAACTTTTATAAACTGTTTATGTGCCATCTTCCTTTGGTTTCTTGGCTTTGTCAGTTACAGAGTTTCTGATGGCATTCACATCACATAAAAAGATGAAAAAACCTCTTCAAAAATGCTGTTTCACTCACCACAGAATAGATGGTTATTAATTTGCACTAATGTTGAAAACAGTTTAGCGGATGTGCCAAACCTTGAATGAAGATCTCATCATTACATGTATTAACACATACTGCACAATACTATGATCATCACTAGAGTATAACCGTCCACCAATATGTGTTTTTTCATTAAGAGTTATGGACTCTTTGTGCTTATTATTTTACACTTAAATTACAATTTCTAGTGTAGTCTTTATTGCCTTTGTTTACTCTGTTATGAGAAAGAAGGCTACAAAACGTTTAAAATTTCAGTTCAGACATTATATTTATTTGGTTCCTATCTTTAATCAAACTATAATTTTTTCTCTATCTGTCCACACTTCAATTTCTTTCAGAGGCTTTACACTGTGAGCCTGACAGCTTTACTGAAAAAACTTGCACATACCTGTTTTTTTCCTTGGTTTCAATTTTGATTTTCTGTTGTGTCCCACTTAATTTGGTGTCTGTATTTCTGTGTTTACTTTGTTGGAATGTCTTACATTGTGAAATTTGCTTCCCCCAGTCTTATCTCAGGGACCTTTGTGCTTCACACTTCCTCCATGATGAAATTTTATGTGTTATACTTTGAAATCTCATGCTGAAACAGCTGGTCAGCAGTTATCTACTTATTTTGGTTTCTCTTTTCTCACATTTATCAGGGGGTACCAGTAGCTTTCTTGCACTTGAAAGCCTTATAGGCTTGCCTCTCTTGCTCTTTACCTTTTTTTTTTTTACTCTTCAACTTCTCCCTCTTTGAGGGATGATCATCGTAACTCTCAGAGGTAGGTAGCTTGTTTCTGTAGCTGCCCCTCAGCTCTGATCCAGGGAGAGCTTGGCTCTCCCAGTTTGCACTCCTATAGACTTCATTTGCCAAAGACCATTGGGTTACACAGATGCTTTCTCATAGGATTTCCTTGACCTTCCACTCTCAACTACCTCTTTCCCCACTCCATATTATGAATGTGGAACAGATCCTTAACCTCATTCTGAAGCTTTCTTCCTACCTTTTTGTCATTTCTAAGAAGTCTGGAGATTTGGTGACCTGTTGTTGATTTGGCACACTTAAACCAGTAAGGTTGTCCCTAGGTCCAAGATGAAAAGTTTTCTCACTCTGAGGCAGGATCTCTCACCCAATATATGGATAACCAAGATCAATGTCGTATATGCTTTTCTCCACATCCTGATTTGTCCATCTGCACATTGTTTCCTTCAGTTTGTCCACAATGGTCAAATATTCAGTTCAAAGCCCTTTCCTTTGAATTGACTACAACTTTGTATGTTTTCAATTGTGTCTAGAAGGCTTTTGCATTGAGATGCATTCCTTAGGTTTGCATTTTCACTACTCTATAGATATTTGGCTCCTACTTGCCCTGTCTAGTGAGGCATCTACCTTATCCTTTGAGGTTGTCTCATTTGGGTTTGTTGGTCAGGTTCAATGAACAAATCTTGTCATTTCCCAGTATCTTATACACCTTGGGTCTTCCTCAATTTTTATGTGAGGTGGGGTCTCTATACTCCATTACATCTTTGAGACATAGAGCTCCTGACTACTAAGACTCTCATTAGTATCTCCTTTTCTTCCTGTGTGAGAGATTTTGTTTCTTTTGAGAACATTATTCTCTCAAATCTCTTGTTTCTCTCGGATGCATCTACGTGTATTCCCTTCAGTGAACTCTGGCTGATTAATGGAGCATTTCCAGAGTTTCACTGTCTTCTCTTGTATCTCACTCTCCTTTTTTGGTGACTCAATCAATTCCACATGACTAGGCATTTTTCTTCACCCCACCTTGCATAGATAGATATCTGTTCAGAAACTCCCAAATGGATGAGTTGTAGGTCTGAAGGCTTATAATACTACAAAATTGGGCTTCAATACTAGTTGGTTGTGAGTGTAGCATAGTTAGCCCATTGTGTAGCTTTGTATTAAACAACAAAAAGCACACAAAACATTTAAACTGATGCCTCTTTATTTGGGCATGGTTTTGGAAAACTGCACCCTTTCCAGAGTCTGATATTCAGAGGAGTAGTCTCTCCATATTATTATCCATGAGATGTTGGGCACTAATCTTCTTGTCTCATCTATTTGGTCATCGTATCATGATCCATTCAGACCACTCTAAATTAACCAACTGGGAGTCATTCTGTTTCCTTGCTCTGGACTTTCTATTTTGGGTCCATAACCACCACATTCAGTTATCATCCTGTCATGTACCAGTCTTTAACCCTGGAGGTAGAACAATTATTTGGCTTAGACTGGATTCTTCTCGCAGATTGGTCTATAAGTCCTCTGGTGTTTTCAGTGAATTTACTCCAACTTTGAGAGTATGATCCCTTTGAGAGTATCCCTGTATGATCATTCGGATACAGATTGTCTCATTTGTTCTGTGTGGAGAGCTCATTGTTATCTTGTTCACACTGTCAACTTTTGAGGCAATTGACAACATCTTTTCTTGCCATGGGCCTCCTTTTCCTTTTCATACTTATTTCTTTTCACTTTGCTAGTTTATTCTTAGATGGAGAATGACACCTTACTTTTACATGTCTCCTCCTATGATGTACATTATATCACAGCTTTTCTTACTTCTAACTGTTGACGTCCCTGGGTGAGCTTTTGCAAACAGAGGTGTGGGTGACCCCAACGCTTTTGTGTCACACTATCTTATACTACATTACAGTCTTCTTTCCTCTGGTTATTGTCTCCCTCCAATCACCATTCTCCTATCTTTACAGCATCTGTAAGAAGGGTAATTGTTTTTTGTTTTGTTTTTTGTCAGTTCCTACAATGAGCTGTGTATATATATATATACACGTATAGGGAAACAATGGAAGTTACTAAATTGCCAGTGCTTCCTCACAGGGAATACTTCTTTCTCCAAGAGTCCACATCAAATAGGTGATAACAGACAGACAGTGCTTATGGTGAGTTGGGATTTTTGACAAGATTGCTTTGGCAGTATATATGTATGTATATGTATACTATTTTCTTCTTGTGGAGTACATGGAAAACCCTGGCTTCATTAGTCCAAGCCACTGGGAAGATCAAAGTAAAGAATTCCCTTTTGTGTCAATTTAATCCTACTGGTATGTGACCAAGTGAACACACCCCTTATATGGTTGAGGTTTTTAACTGGAAGCATAGTACAGGCTTCCCACTACACTATGAAACATACCATTCTCAGCAGTTTTATCAGATGCATGGGTGTTGTGTTTATTTCAGGATGTAAGTCTGAGATAATTCCTCCCTGCAACTGCTTATATTAGTAATAGTTCACTTAAGTACTTCTCATATATTGTAAGGCATGACTATATTGTCCTAGCCACACTGCAAATCTATGCTTAGCCAACTGCCTGAGATATAATGGCCTGTTGAACAATCTTACTTTCAAACCATCTATGTGACACTTTAGCACCATGTAGAAAGTTCTTTACTATCTTTATTGGACAAAGAGTATTCTGTTCCTTGCATAAGAAGGAGTTGGTTCCCATCAAATGGTGCCCCATTAGGTCCCTTCCTCTAGTGAGTGACACACTCCATTAATCTTCCCTTTCTGATGCCATAATTTCAAAAAGAACTCACCTTTTAAATTTTTTATCTACACCATCCCTTACATTATGTTATCATTGTAGGATTCTAGCTATCTGTTATGTGAAGAGGTAAGTAGAATTTCTGATGTTAACATTTTCTTTATCTGAAAATGTATTTCAGTTAGATATTCATCTTTCCACAGAAGCTTCCCATCTTACTCCCAACTTTCAGTGAGTTTCTTCTACCTCGTCAAGAATGAGCTTTTGTGAAAACGCTAGTGCTCATAGGGCTTATTGCACTTCCTTTTGGTGGAGGGCTACAGTCTAATGATAATTAAATTACAGGCTGGTGAAATAGACATTAATATGTGTATGAGTGGCAGTTTTATTCAAGGCTTGGCACATGTGCAAAATGTTTTTTGTCAGCTATGTAAGATAATAACTATCTGTTTCTGTATTTCTGTCTGAAATACATTTTCACATTAGGAAAATGTCAACTTCAGTGTTGCCATGAATCCCACTAGTCACTTCTGGGATTTCCCCAGTATTTTAGATAGAAAATGACTGATTTCACCCAGTTGTTTTGGGTTATATTTTTTACACTGAGTGTGAAAGGCAAAAACTTAAATTTACTGTGATGTGATATGTGAACCAACCAGTAATAAATGGCACATAAACATTTGAGGGTTAAAAAAACACTTGACTTTGTTTTCACACTGTAAACAGACTTTAGGATATTTTAAAGTAATTGAAGCCAA